TCTTACCTAAGAATCTCATTTTCCTTTTTTTTCTTAGTGTCAAAACTATCACGGAACTGAATCCGAGACAAGGCGAAACATTTGAAATAAAAATAAAAAATTATCCGTCGTGGTTCACGTTCTACGGACAACGAAGACTTTGGTCATTTCACGTTGTTGTTTTGCAGAGGACGGCAAAGAAATGTACCAAGAATTATAACGCACGTACACAGCCATTGGTCTGCTCATTAAACCTCTTGTTTAACGACGGTCGCGTTGCCGTTACCGTCGTGGTTTTATTAACTCCCTGTTAAATTCGTTCAAAGGATCACCAGACCTCCTCATGTTACGTCGAACAATCACGACTTAATAGACACCAAACAAACCAGTACATCTCGCTGAAAAATTAAATTTTTTTTCTCAGTTCTAAGAAAAAATTCAGATAACGGAAATGCAGCCGAAAGACTTGATTTTCTTTCTGAATCCATTCCGGATTCAGAAAAAGGAACATCTGCCCGAGAGATTTTCGTCTAGAAAAATTAAAGCTGCGGTAGCCGCGGCAACTTCAGTCGAATACTTTCATTTATATGGAAAAATAAAACCCAGTTAGTGCTAAATGGTGGGGTTTAAAATTACAAATAGATTATCGACCAAAGAGTGTTATTTTTAGCGCGAAACGTGAAACATTTAGACTTGCCTCAAACTTCCGCGTTTATGGCTGAGCTTAGCCGGGACAAAAATGGTGCCTGCCAGTTACTTGGCTGCGACAGAAAGACCTTCTGATATCAAAGAGGATTCGAGGTCAGCCTTCACTGAATCACATGGCTTGTTTGACCAGTTCCGCAAATAGCCTTTTACCGCAAATTGTTTAATATAATTGCATATATATGTCTTGAAAGATCTTCGCTGACGTAAATTTACAAAAGTTACCAAAGTTACCGCCACTTCTGTCAACCACGTTTCCGATTAGCTGCTGGTGACAAAGATTGTGAACGCCAGATTAATTCCTGATTGGTGAAAAACAATCATTCGATATATTGGTTCTTTTCTTTCAACTGAAGTACTTAGCATTTCTGTGCTGGCAGATGGAACCAGAAAACTTTTGCGAGAGATGCAATTGATTTTCGAAAGAATATTTTCACTTCACCATAGAAGTTATATCTGGTAATGAAGAACAATTGTTAATCCTCGCACAATTTGTCAACTGAAGTACTTAGCATTTAATTTCTTTACCAAACTGTGCTGGCAGATGGAACCAGAGAACTTTTGTAGAAATGCAATTGATTTTCGAAAGGTTATATCTTCACTTCACCATAGAAGTTATATCTGGTAATGAAGAACAATTGTTAATCCTCGCACAATTTGAATTATACAAAATACTAGGATTTAACGGAGGACATTCAGAAAGAAACCCCAAGAGAACGGGCTAACTCTGACAACTGGACAGCCCGTGAAAATAAATCAAATGCACGTGTTTTTTTCTAACTGTTCAATCATTTCCTTAGCGGGGAGCAAAGAAAATAATTCATTGTTAATATGGCTTCCTTTTAAGAACTTATGCAACTAGGCGGCGAACTAAGAAAACGAACAGAACATTCGAGCAATATTGGCAAAAATTAAGTCACCAAAAAACCCTCATGGCATGGTAATATTTTGAATACAGTTAAGAAGAACTTACTGAGACTTAAGCTCTCAAGCTGATCCCTTGAGGAAAAATTGGACTTGAAGTTATCAATATTTCAATAAAAACAGACGTTTCGCATCAGTCAAAAACACAATAACACA